CTAGTTAGAGTCTCCACCATCACCATCTTTCCAGTATTGGGAATTTTTTTATACTTCCAGAACATCACGCCTTTAAGATTTTATGGACAAAGGTGACATTACTGGCCTATGCTGGCATTAAAATAGGTGGGTCAGGGCGGTTAGACAGGGTTCGTAAGAATCTGTTAGTTGAGTTTTTCAAACTTGTCATTGACTAAAGATTCTCAGATGTTTACTCAGTAGAGATCTAAGCATATGCACAGAGTACCTGAAATCAAAAAGTATATTAAAAAAAAGACGAGGATAGAGTTGTGTGGCTTTTGCATTTGTGGGATTGTTATTGAAATTACAACATAAAATTTTAATGTGTGAAGTACCAAAAGTGTTGTTGTTTTCATTTTTATTGTTATTGTTAGTGGTAATCATAGTAGTAATAGTAACAGTAATGTTTGCCAGATTTCCTTACCTCTGTTCCACACCCTGGAGTGTCTGGCAGATCTCCAATACTGACTTACGCTGGGAGGGTTGGGGGTCTACAGCGCAGTAATTGACTATTCTCCATGAACCATTCCTACCCCACTTTAGTCCAACTTTGTTTATGTTTGTCTCCTGTGAGCTCAAATGTGCTTTATTAGCTGAGAAGGCAGAAAAGTTATATGGGACAGGGGAAATTAGGGAGGTCAGGAGGGGCACCATGACATACTGAAAGAAACTCATATGTTGGCATTGTGACCTTGGAAATGTCACTTAACTTCTCTTTCTTTACTGGTAAATTGGAATGACAACAATGGCCCAGTGAATCTTTCGTACATAATTCTTAATCCTTGTTGTGCTTTTGAATCACTGGGAGAGTCCTAACAATAGAGATATCTATCTCCTAACCTAGTTTGTAGGAAAGCTTGGATCTTTGTCCCTTTTTTCTTTAAATCTCTTTAGGTCCTTCAAGGTGCAGCCATGGTTGAGAACCAAAGCTTTATAGTATCGTTGTGAGGACAAAACTGAATAATATTGTCAAAGAGCCCTGAAAGGGGCTATTCAAGTGAGCATTGCCCAAAGGAAAGCATCGTGATATTTCTTCCATAGGATTTTTCTTCCTACTAATGGCAGTGTCTCGGCTGATTGCTATGTTCTGCCCCCTACTAGGAGGAGTCAAGAAAGACAAAACATGCCTAGATGGTTCCACTCAGTTAAGAACCATACTCTCAGATTCTTGGCCTGTCGTAGTCATGGCACCAAAGATGACCAGCCTGCACCTGTGGCTTCCCAAAGGGCCTCACAGGTTCAGAACTACCAGCCTAGTCTCATCCAACCTCACAATTAGATCAGATGCCAAGAGCTGCTCCTGTCTGCACAGAGATAGGGCCAGTATCTATGAAGGTCTCCACCAGTTCCCTACCAAGCTCCAAGCATTCCCCAAAATTGTTCCTTTAGGGTTGGCTAATTTAGGGTCCTCAAGCAATGTTCAAATCTGTGAGTTGGTTAGTGATATAAAGCTGATTGACACTTTTTTTTTAAACTATTTCAGATGTGACAGGGCAAGAGTATCATAGGATTTCATTTTATTATTTAACGTCAACCCTATAAATATTCATAGAAAAATGTCTGGGAGAGATTAAACTTCTGATAAGTATTCAACAGGACAGAGAATAAAGATTAACCTTTTGTATAAAAGATTAACCTTTTGTATATGATAAAAAATTAATATAAAATATAAAATTAGTACCAAAGGCATTTGGCAGAAGAGGTATAGGCTGAATTTTTATGTTGAAGCGACTATATAAGTTCTAATCTTCTATTAAGGAGAACAAAAGATTAACTAGCAAAGAATGTCACTTTCTAAGGTGACAGAGGAGAGAATATATAAGTAACAGGAGTCTTTGTCCAACCAGAAAAGATTCTATAGAGACTCACAATTTTTAAAAAAAGAAAACCATGTTTAATTTACATAGTATAATGACCCAATTTTTATATAAGACTATGTAAGTATTGATAGCTTTCTGGCTTCTAGATTATAACTTTTTATTTATTTTGCTCAATTTAAGCATTCACTGATCACAAGACATTGGACTTGGTATAAAAAACTTGATTCTGTTTAATTTTTGATAATTTCTGTATGATTTATTCATTTATTCCTTCTTTCAACACTAGTAGTGAAAAAAAACGAGACAAAAATGTTGATCTTCTTAGAACTTAAGTTCCAGTAGAAAGAAAGGTAATAAACCAGAGAGATAGAAACCCAGAGAGATGGTTTTATTAAATTGTAGTGTTTCAGATGGTATTATGGCTACTGTGAAAATAAAGCAGGAAAGAAGTAATGGGGTACTGGAGAATAGTTGCTTGGTAAAAATTTACAAAAAAAGAAATTTTATCAGAGATCTCACTGCTAAGTGGATTTTTTTGCAAGGAATTAAAGAGGTAATAGAGAGAGCCATGAAGTTATCTAAGACAAATTTGGAGAAGAGTCCCCCAAAATGGGAAGAGTAAGCGCTGAGTCTTGCAAGGAGAATAGTGTGTTGGTTTCGGGTCCATGGTCACGGTGGGGGTAGATTTTAGGCCATTGTAAGGACTTTGTCAATTACTCTGAAAGAAAGGGGAATAATTGGAGGGTTAAGCCTGAGAAGTAACATGATCTGGCTTTTTCATAGGATGGTTCTGGCTTCTGTGTTGATAATAGCTTGTAGTAAGGTGAGACGCTATCTGGAAACCTGTCAAGAGGCTATTATAATGCTTTAGGGGAGATACGCTGTGGGCGTGGACCAGAGTGGTAGCAGTGGAGGTGGTGCGAAGTATAATGAGCTGACAAGATTTTATGATGGATCTGATGTGGAGTGAAGAGAGAAAAGAGGAAATGATTATTCATAAGATTTTTGTATTTGAACAATCAGAAGCATCAAGTAACCATTTTAGAGATGGAGAAGCCTGTGGAAGCACAACATTTGGGAGAATTTATTAGGTGTTTAGATTTAGATTGCTATGTTTGAGATTACTATCCAACATTCAAAGAGAGATACTATGTGTTCCTTCAAAAAGATGTGTTGAAGTCCTAACTCCTAGTACCTCAGAATGTAACCTTATTCAGAAATAGGGTGGTTGCAGATGCAATTAGTTAATATGAGGAAATACTGGAGTGAGGTAGGCCCCTAATTCAATATGACTGGTGTCCTTATAAGATAACCCTGTGAACACAGAGACATACATGGAGAATGCTGTGTGATGATAAAGGCAGAGATTGGAGTTTCATACCTGTAAGCAAAGGAATGCCAAAGGTTGCTGGCAAAGTACCAGAAGCTAAGAAGAGAGAAGGAAGAACTTTCTTACAGGTTTCAGAGGGATCATGGCCTTGCCAATACCTTGATTATGGATTTACAATCTCCAGAACTGTGAAGTAGTACATTTGTGCTATTTTAGGCCACACAGTTTGTGGTACTTTGTTATGGCAGCCCTAGGAAATGAACACAGAGAGTGAGGTGAGTACTGAGAATTTGCCGTTGGATTCAGCTAGGTGGAGTTATTGGTGAACTAGACAGGAGAAGTTCCAGTGGGAGAGATGCGTTCACATTCTGATTGTAGTGGGTTCAAGAAAAGAAAAAAGATGGCGTGAATTGGGAGCAATAATTATAGGTTTATCTTTTAAGCAGTATTTCTGTAAAGGAAGAAGCAAAGAAATGACATCATGGCTGAAGGGAGATATGAGATCAAAGGAAGCATTTTATTTCTTCCTTCCCTTCCTCCCCTTTCTCTCCTTTCCTCCCTTCCTCTCTCCTCCCTTCTCTCTCTCTCCTGCCCTCCTTTTCCTATCCCCCTCTCTGCCTTTCTTTCTTTCTTTCTTTCTTTCTAGACAAAAACATTGCCACATGATCAAATGCTGATGGAAATAATCCATTAGAGAAGAGAAAGTTGAATTTGGAGGAGGGACAGGCAAAAACTGTGGAAGAAATATCCCTGAGAGTCAAAATAAGATCTACTGCAGAAAAGGAGGGGTTGGATTTACACAGGACTAAGGCAGAAAGAAGACACAGTACATGGCCATAGATACGGGGAAGGGAAGTGAATAGATGTCAAAAGAATATATGGAAGATCTTTTCCAATTCCTTCTATTTCTCAATGAAAGGGGAAGCAAGTTTACCTGCAAAGACAAAGGACAGTGGTAAGGTTCTTACATATTTAAGGACAGAAGAAAAGTTAGGACATGGTCATTTAGGAGTATGGGAAAGTTCCAGAGAGATATAGTAGGATTACAGGTCTACTCTAAATGTCCTCTTGAAGTTGATGGTTATGAGTTGAGAGAGACCAGTAAGCAAATTATTTTGTGTTTTCTTATTGTGAGAAATGTATGTTTTAATTAATTGCTTAATTAATGTTGTTATGCATACCAGTACTTTTATGGTTCTAAGGAAACTTAAATTAAGAAAGCAATAGTCTAGGGGCTGGCCCTGTGGCCGAGCGGTTAAGTTCGCGCGCTCCGCTGCAGGCGGCCCAGTGTTTCGTTGGTTCGAATCCTGGGCGCGGACATGACACTGCTCATCAAACCACGATGAGGCAGCGTCCCACATGCCACAACTAGATGGACACACAACGAAGGATATACAACTATGTACCGGGGGGCTTTGGGGAGAAAAAGGAAAAAATAAAATCTTTTAAAAAAAAAAAAAGAAAGCAATAGTCTAACAGCATAATTTTTGGAGAATATCTTTTTCCTGTGAATAGAGTTGCCAGGTAAAATATAGGACACCCTGTTAAATTTAAATTTTAGATTCACAATGAATAAGTTTTAGCATATGTTCCTACTTGCTAAAGTTCATAAATTTTCCATTTGCAAACGTGGGGGTCACTTGTGGTGGCTACACTCTTACTCGTTTCCTGATGTGTGCAATTAGTGGGCAATGCAGCATGTTTTGAAGCTGTGTAACGTTCACAAACTAATTTCTGGGCTGAATTGTAAATCTGCCAAATGTTGATTCAACTATTTAACATTTTCACTGAGAAATAATAAGAAATGTTGATGCATTTAAATATCTTACCTGGCTGCTCTTGCCATCTCTCTGGGAACATTCATCCTGTTGGCAGGCTCTCAGCAATTTTTCCGTTAATCTCTTCAGTGATAAAGTCTGCGTTAACAACCTTCAGGGTAATAAAAGTTAGCTCTCTAGCAATGGTAGCCAAGGACTACATAGTTTTTCTTTTGGTGCATTTATCTAAGCTCTGGGGACAAAGCAGTGTCCTTATATCAAAAAAATATATGTATATACTGATTCTGTTGGTCCTTAATAATAATAATTATAGTTATGATTTGGTCAGTATTTATTTTGTACAAGGCACTGTACTGAACATTTAACATACTAAATTCTAACAAAAACATAATAGGAACTCATGAATCCATTCAATAAATATTGGTTGCACCAGACCTTGGAAATAGTAGTAAATAAAAGATACCAAAATCCCTGACTCCATTAAGCTAACATTTAATGGGCAAAAGACCACCAAAAATAAGTAAATAAGATGTTAGATGGTGAGAAATGCTTTGAGAAAAATAACGCTGAAAATAGGGACAAGGGATAATGGGAGTAGAGATCCATTTTAGATAGGCAGCTCAAGGAAGACTTTATTGACATTTGAGCAAAAACCTGAAGGTCGTAAAAAGGTGATACATGTGGTCATTTAAGAAAAAAAACATTCCAGGGAGAGGGAACAGCAAGTGAAAAGGCCCTAGGGGGAAAAACATGGCTGGCATGTTGAATCCATAGCCAAGATACTTGGAGTAGAGTGAGCAAAGGCGAAATGAGGAAAAGATTAGGTCAAATGGAGGAGGTGGTACCTACTCTGAATGAAATGGGAAGACACTGGAGGTGTTGAATAGATCAATCCCCTGATTTAACTTCAGTTTTGAAAAGATCACTCTGGCAGTTAAGAACAGGCTGCTGGAGATGAGGTGAGGAGGCAGAAAGACCGAACTGAAGGCTGTGTTAACAATCGGGGGCAGGGGTGTGTGTGTGTGTGTGTGTGTAATAATCCAGGGTGGGAGCAGGCAGATGAGAGAGTGAGAAGTGTTGGATGCTGGAAATAATTTGAGAGTAGAGCTGTCAGGCTTGTTGGTTTATGGGGTAAGGAGTATAAAAGAGAGAGGTAAGGCTGACTCCAAAGTTTTTGACCCAAGCAACTGGAGGGCCAGCAGTTGCCAATAACTGAAATAAGGAAGACTGCAGGAGGAGCCTGTTTGTCAGGGAACATCAGGAATTTTGTTTTGGCCAGGATGAATTTAAATTCCCGTTAAAGACTCAAGTAGAGATCTTCAGTGGGTAGTTGGACATATAAATCTGGAGAATGCGCTGCAGATATAAATTTGGGACTTTAATTTAAAGCCATAATATTGGTTATTATCAAGAAATTAGTGAGAGTAGATAGACAAAAGTTTAGATCCAAGAACTGAGCCCTGCGGCAACCCAATGGTGAGTGAGAAGATGAGGAAGAGCAAACAAATGAGACTGGGGAGAAGCAAGCGACCGCAAAGCCAATGAGAGACAGAAGCTTCATTCGAACCCAGGCTGTGGGGTGCCTATAATTCCTATGGCCTTAAACACAGCCATGTTTTGTTATTTGTGATTATTAATCTGTATTATTTCAAAACCCTAATCCATTTCTAGAAAAAAAAAATGCTAATGGGTACTCAAGTTACCTGAATGAGTTAACACTCCCCCAAAAGACGGAAAGATGAGAAGAAAAGTAATGGATATTAAGAGCTTTATTTTGTATGTCAAACATTATGCCTGGTCCATTATAGATCATCTCATTTAATCCTCATTTTAGGTATTATATTCCCCATTTGGCAGAAAAAGGATTTGAGGCCAGCAGAGTTTAACTACTTTCTCCAGTTCACTTACTTTTCAGGCAGCAGAGGTGGAATTTCTATCCAATTCTGTCTGATATTTTCTACTGTTTTACATTTCATCATCCATACCATCCTGATTCCAACTAAGAGAAAATTACTGCTGCACAAAGCAACATTGAAAAGTATAACAGATATCTGCAGTAACTGTTTTCCAGAAAAGGAAAATTCTTCATGTGGTTATTTCTTGTATCATCCTAAATAAAGCCAGCATCATATAACTACATTACAGTTCACATCATAAATAAGACATGCTTGAATTCTAAATTTAGAAAAAATTTTGTATGCATTCACATTGTCTTATGAGGGCCCCGTTATGACTAACCACATAATTCTGAGACGGTGAGTTGGTCACTGATCGTTGCAAGGCTCAATCCCATAACCTCGCCTCACTCTCACAGCTTGGAGAGCTACAAGATTTTGAAGATTGTCCCTAAGGGATTACGGAGGCCGCAGCCTCTAATCCAGCCCCTGATTTTACAAAGGAATAAATGGAGGTCGAGAGAGAGAGAAAATGATTTGTTAGTCACATGCTGACAAGTAACAGAGACTGAACTCAAGCTTAGGTCTTCTGACAAGTTACCCAGAGTAAGGTGAAAGGTGTAAAAAAAATCAAAACCAAAACCCAAACAGTAATGCCTCTCTCCCTATTCATCAGATGAATTAATGTAAATTGAAAGAGAAACCCATCTGCATGATGAGTATACACATCTCCATCTTTGTTTTATATTACAGTTACTCACTGCCAAAATTCCTGATTGGATTTGCTTCCAACAATTGGCAGAAAAAGAAGGATAGGGACTCGAATGTAAATATTTCAGCTGTGATGTTGCCGTCGGCAATTTTCCTCCCAAAACTGTTAATAACCAAGGTCTGATTGCATACTGTCTCTGCCATACAATAGCTTTGTAATGATTTGAAGGAAAGAATAAAACAGTAATTTGACTTTCAGGTAGCAAAATTGTGGAGATATTTTTTAACATTATTTGGTGACTAGGACTGCCGTATGTTATGTTATTGATAAATGGGTAGAAGTCTATATTCAATTAATAAAATAGAATTTATAAAGAAATAGGTATGCAGTGGTTCATAAAGACTAAAATATGCAAGTGTATAGGTCAATAGTACAGGGCCAGATGTGAGAGGAATTGCAAAGATTACAGCTGCTGGAGAAGGACACAAATGAAGGAAAGGACCTCCTGAAATGAGAAGTTGACGATTTGTCATTTGCTTCAAAATATAGTGGTCATCTTTACAAGATTTACTGTGCATACTAGTGGCTGTATATGATGCCCGTGGATAATGATGGGTTGGCATGATGGCTATATCTAATTCTGGCACCCTAACATCTAAACAAACAGGTAAACAAACAAAATCTCCTTTACGAGGAAAGTTTCTTTGAGGCAGGGCAAGATCAAAACTCAAAATTTGCTATCTAAAACCTATGGAGAATATTAATCTTTTCAATAAAGTTGGCAGCCAAATCAAGGCTAAAAATGTCAAAATATAGCCTGGGCCCTCTCTTGGCATCAGATCCAGGCAGAGACTATCTTACTCCTTAGCATGCAGTTGCCTCATGCCTTCCCTTAAGAGAGAGTAAAGAAAATCTTCTCATTAAAACTGGCACTGCACCAGAAACACTGACCTCTGCTCAGAAAAAAGCTTCAAAATCTCTTGCTGAGGTTTTTGAGTAAACGGGTGAGCGTAAGAAGTATGGGAGAAATATGGATTATCTTTTAAAAGCTTCTAAAAAGATAATTTTGGCAGGAAACTTTTACATTTGTCTGCACAATATTTGTTTGCTCTTGGGAAGTGGCTAAATTGCAAGCTAAAAGGATTTTTTTTCCTTTCTTGCTCTTTCCTTCTCTCCCTCCCTTCCTCCTTCCTTTCCTCCCCCCGCCCTCCTTTGCTCCCTTCTCCCGCCTCTTTTTCTCTCTCTCTCATCTGAATTATTAGAGCTCCTGAAGCAGTGGAAAGCCCAGATCTAGCAGACTTGGCACAGCATTATTTCTTATCTATTATATCCAAATATTGTGGGTAACGGTGATCCAAATGCTTTACGCATCTGCCAAATCGTCCTACTCCGGGAGAAAATAAAAAAGTAAATGTTTATTGTGCATTGATAAAATGCCCGCTGGTGGCCGACTTTCAGCGTTAGAAAGGGTGTCAGCCTTTATCTAGACCAGCCTGTCCTCTCTGCCCCTGGGCCTGAGCTCCTTCCCAAAGACCCTGTCCTGGGCTCAAACTCCTCAGCCACTGGAACTTCACTCCTGAAGCAGCTGCTTCTGCTTCACCTGCCTTTCTCATGGCTACAGAAATCTTCACTCTTTCCAGCTGAAATCGCCTCCTCGCAGCTTCTGCGTATTAGTGTAGTTCTGCTCCCTGAAGCTACATAACATTAAAGTCTAATTCCTTTTCCATAGCGCAACTATTAAAGTATTGAAGTAACAGTTGTTTGCTGCTGCCTGTCTTATTTAGGCAGAATACCTTCAATGATCAAACTCTTCCGCATATTTCAGAGATTCTGGACCCTTTGCTGTGCTGCTCACTTTCCTTTGGACATGACTCAGATTTCCTGTTCAAAAACTCTGCCACTTTGTAGCTGCTTAACCTTGGTTAAATGACTTAATTTCTCTGTGCCTTTGTTTCCTCATCAGAGCATTGAAAATAATAGCAGTCCCTGCCATCTGTGTACTATAATTCATGCAAAATAATGAAAACAAAAAGCATCAGTTAGTGCTCAATAGATGTTTACCACTGCTATTCCTAGTCCTATGGCAGATATGAGGCACATCTTCTCTGCTTGCGTTATTATACTTCTACTCATGAATACCGTTTGCCTTTATGTGAGTCCTAACCTTCTGTTGGATGGAATTGAGCCTAAACTTAGGCAATACTTGTACAACTTTTATATACTTTCTGTCATTTACATATATATCACTACTCCTAAAATTGTACAGTTATCTTTCGAACTCAAGAAAAATATTGGGGTTTCGATGCTCCTTGGCAATTCTTCTATAATTCCCAATCAGTTCTCTCCCTCAGATTCTCTGTACTCATTCTACTCCCTAAACCTTGGATTTTAGTGGTGCTTCCTCACTATCAGAACTCTCCGCCTTCAAGGAGAAAATTGAAGCCATTAGACCAGAACTGCCTCCTTTAGCTAGCCTCAAATCATACTGCATCCACGTTCATGCTTTCTTCCATTCTGCACATTATTCTGGAATTTTCTTCCTCAAAGAGCAAAATTCAAGTTAATTCTTCCAACTGCCCTGCTTCCATCCCAGGTACCATGCTATATTTTAATAATTATCATTTGTCTCTCTTTTAGTTTCACCATATTTCTCTCTTCTAGATTCTCCTCACTTTAGAACTAAAGTGTTCACATTTCTTTCTTCTTAAAAAAAAATCTGTCCTTTATGCTTCAAAAAAGAGCAGGAAACATCATTTTAATCAAGGTTGCAAATGTTTTTAAGCAGTAACTGTACTTGTTTTTACTTTTCATCCTACCTCCCATCCACTCCTTAATCTCGTATAACCAAATGTCTACCTTATCCTCTATTGAAACTTTTGCAACGTTTGGCAACTGTTGTTCTCCTTCTGTGAACTCCTTCTGTAAACGCTCTTTTCTGCTGGCACCCTTTATGCCACACTCTTGGTTTTCCTCCTAAATCTCTGGCCGTTTCCTATGTTTCCTTTAATCTGCTTTGTGGATGTTTTTCCACTGCCGGTTTTGTGTATGTGTGTGTGTGGAAAACTGGCCCTGAACAAACATCTGTTCCAATCTTCTTCATTTTGCTTGAGGAAGATTGTCACTGAGCTAACATCTGTGTCAGTCTTCCTCTATTTTATGTGGGATGCTGCCACGGCATGGCTTGACAAGCGATGTTAGGCCCGGGTTCTGAACTTGAGAATCCCATGCTGTCGAAGCGGAGCTTAAGAACTTACCCACTATGCCACTAGGCTGGCCCTTTTCTACTGCCAGTTTTAATGTTCTTTTAAATTTTGTCCTGGACTCTTCTCTCAAAGTGAAGTCCACACCCTCCCAGGCAAGCTCATCCATTCCTGTGACTTAAAAACCCAGCTATATACAAATGGATCTCAAATATATATCTCCCTGGATTTTTCTCCTGGAATTTTCTGGATTTTTCTCCTGGAATTACTCAATAGTCAACATATCCAGAGGAGAGCTTGTCATGGTCTTTTCCAATCTCACCATCCAGCATGTACTTTTTTCTCTGTTACTTCTCAGTGAGTGGTATCTGTGTTTGGCTGGTTTCCCCCAAAAAAAGGCTGAGATCGTCTTTACCTTTCTCCAATCAATTTTTTTGGATACAACTAGAATAATTCTTGTAATGCACAAATCTTAAACTGTCAATGTGCTCCAGAAAATTTTTCAGTGGCTCTGTATTACACCTAGGGTGAATTTAGAATAAGAGTCACTTGTCCCCAATCTTTAGGTAGCATTCACATGTTTAACTCTTTGTTAAAGATCCTGGCTGCAATTTACAGAACTATCTTGGGCAAATTCTTTCTATAGGATGGTATGAGTCATTAAAATCTGAACTCATGAGAAACTCCATGACATTAATTCTTTCTTTCTGATGTTTGTCCTACCCTCTTCTGTTGGACACTCCTTCACCATGGAAGGCCAGAGTGGTTTCCCAGAGAGCTTTTGAATGGCATCAGTCCCTGTGGGCAGCATGGGGGTGTCCCAACCCCAGATCAATGGAATCAAAATCTCTGGGAGATGGACTCAGGCAAAAATCTTTTGTAAAAGCTCTTCTGGTGATTGTAACAACCTGCCAGGGTTTAAAACCACTGGTTGAGAATTGCTAGGCTAGAGAAGGATGCGTAAAAGCAAAGTCAATGAGATGGAAACATGGGATTTAAGGGGAGATGGAAGAACCACATCAAAGATAAAACTTTTTCAACCTTTGTGGTGTTAGCCACCTCAAATTTTTATAAGGTGCTCGCATCTTTGGACCTGGCCAGGGATGGCGTAATTTAGCCTTGTAAATCCTACACAGACAGTTAGTTTATTTGCTTGCCATTTCTCTGAGCTCATTAACATTTCACCATAGGTTTTTAAACAGCATATACTTTTCTTCTCATTTTTAAACTTATATAGGGTTCTTATGAACTCTATCTCAGCTACTCTTCAAAATTATTCAAATGTTAACTACAAGCTGAAGCTTTTCACAGTCTTCCTTTCCCCAAGTTCGGTTAATTAATGAATCCATCCTGCCTGTGCTCAAAGCACTTTAAACAATTATCTGTTTGTACCTGCTTTCCTGGGTTTTGATTTGTGTGTGTGTGTGTGTGTGGTTTGCATATCAGTTTATCTCTCTGGACTGTGAGATCCTTGAAAGCAGAAAGTGCCTGGTACATAACAAGTGTTCAATAAATATTTCTGGACTAAGTGATTAGGTGAATAGATAATGTGTACTTTGACCATGTCGGCTTATGGTATATGCAACTTTTACAGCCTTATCTTTGGTTTTACAAGATCTATTCGTTATTTTACCAGAACATGAATTGAGCACATCTTACATGTGAGGTCCTGTGCTTGGTGCTTATGTCCATCTCAGTTTTGTCCGTTTTATATATGAACTTCTTATGGAGTTTGAGGTGTAGCCATCTTATTCTTATTTTTTATATTTTCCTCCTTATGATCACAGAATTTATTTTGAAAGCCTTCAAACCCTCTCAATCTGTCATATTTTATACAATTTGAAGCCATGGAATTATACCTACCTTTCTTGAAACTTTTTGGAATCTCCTATTTCCATGTTTCTGGCTATTACAAACTCTAAAGGAGCAAGGTAACTTTGCTCAGGGTTTCCACTGTTTCAGTCAAAAATTCTTTCTGGTTGATTAGCATGAGACTAGAAAAGCACTTCTCTTGTACTGCCTTTGCATCTGAGAAAGATTTGGCAAGGATCCTTTATTCCAATGGGAACCCAGTGATTGAAGCTCAGGTCACTGATCCAGTTGCAGAGTCTCACTCAAGAAGCCATATCCCTTTCCTCATTCTTGCTTGACAGTTTAGAGTACACTCAAATAACATCACTTATTTTCCTCTCTCCTTCTATCTTTAAAAATGCATGGCTTTGTAGCAATTGAACAACAACTCTCCATTTCCCTCTCCCAGTTATGCAAGTTATAAATTAATTCTAAAGGTCTGTTGTATAGAAGAGAGCCTATAGTCAACAATAGTTTATTTTGTACTTAAAAATTTGTTGAGGGTAGATCTCATGTTGTATTCTTACCAAACACACAAAAGCAAGAGACGCAAAGAAACTTTTGGATGTGATGGATATGCCTATCACCTTGATTGGGATGATCGTTTCATTGATGTACACATATATCCAAACTCAACAAATTGTGTACATTAAATATGTACAGTTTTTTGTATATCAATTATACATTAGCAAAGCTATTTTTAAAAGGATGTTGCTTCATACACGTAGGAGGTATTTAAAAAAACATATGGACCAGCCCCGTGGTGTAGCAGTTAAGTTCGTGCACTCCGCTTCCACAGCCTGAGGTTCACTAGTTTGGATCCTGGGCACAGATCCAAAGCCACCACTTATCAAGCCATGCTGTGGCAGGCATCCCACATATAAAGTAGAGGAAGATGGGCGCAGATGTTAGCTCAGGGTCAATCTTCCTCAAAAAAAAAACAAAGTAGATGGCTTTAGCAAACTACTAACCCAAGATTTGTGTATTTCTGCAGAGGCAGATAGTCACTGACAACCTTCTGCCTTTCTCCCCAGCCCAAACAAAAAAACCATGCACACACACACAAAGTCAGTACTTTTATAACACAGTCAAGCCTTCTATTTTTGTGCTCGATGTTGGTTTCATTCCAACAATACTCTGTGATAGTTATATATTTAATTTAACTCTTTGTGCTAAAATCTCATTTTTTGTTTTTACTGATTCATCGATGCTGCTTTGGTACACACACACACACGTATCCATATGAATGTTTTAAATAGATGCCCTATTTTCTCATATCGATTTTTTTCATCCTGGATTAGTTTATTAGTTTTCTTCTAGTGCCATAACATTATCTGTGTTTGCTCTCTTACGCTAGACCATTTCTGTTTCCTTCTCCAGTTTCAATTTATAGTCCCTATACAGATTTATAGGTTTAATGCAATTCCTTAGAAATCCTAGCAAGTTTTTGTAGGCATAGATACACTTATTTTAAATTTATATAGAAAGGCACAAGCCTTAAAATAACTAAAAGACTCTAAGAAAAGGAGAATAAAGCAGAAGGAATAACTCTACCTGATATTAAGTTTTTCCCTATAGCTACAACAATCAAGACAGTGTGGCACTGGCAAAGAGATAGACACATAGATCAATGGAACAGAATATAGGATCCAGAAATAGACCTACACAAATATGCTCACCCAATTTTTGACAAAGGTGTAAAACGAATTCAATCTGGGGACGATAGCCTTTTCAACAAATGGGGCTATAGCAATTTGGCATTCACAGGCAAAAAATGAATCTTGAACTAAGTCTCACACTATACATGAAAATAAACTCAAAATGGATCATGGTCAAATGCAAATAAAATTTTTAGAAAAAAGTAGTAGAAAATTTGGGGGATCTAAGGCTAGTCAAAGAGTTCTTATAATTAATGCCACAATCATGAACCATAAATGAAAAATTGATAAATTGGATCAAACAAAATTAAAAAACTTTTACTCTGTAAAAGCCCACATGCGAAAGATAAAAATGCAAGAATGATAGAAAATTGAAGTACACACATATCATAGAATACTACTCAGTAATAAAAATAAATGAACTATGATACACATAAAAAATTTAATGACTCTCCAGGGAATTATGCTGTGTAAACAAATCCCAATCCCAAAAAGTTATATACTGTATGATTCCACTTATATAATATTTTGCAATAATAAAACTTAGAAATTGAGGACAAATTAGTGGTTTTGTGGAGGAGTATATAACCATATATATATGGTTATAAAAAGGCAACAGGAAAGATTCTTGTGGTGTTGGAACTGTTCAGTACTTTGACTGTGGTGGTTAATGCATAAACCTACACAAGTAACAAAATTATATAGAGCTTAACACACACATCCCCACTCCCACACACAAAGAGTACAAGTAAAATTGGGGAAATCTGAATAAGATCTGTGGATTACATCATTGTCAATATCCTGGTAGTACAGTTTTACAAAATGTTAGCATAGGAGGAAAGTTGACAAAGTGTACAGGGAAGTCTCTGTATTATTTCTTACAACTACATGTGCATTTAAAAGATTTCAATTAAAATTTATTTTAGATAATAGTATAGTATTATATTGCATGAACACACCATAATTTTGTCATTTTCTTTTTGTGGAGCAGTTGAAATATACTCTACTGGGGCTAATATACCTATTATACTTTCTTCTTTGTGTACAACTTATTTGAATGTACCATGGTTTGGGAATAAAAGAAGTCTTTGGTAGTAGAAAAATAAACGTAACCAAAGTAGAATAAAGACAATAGGATATGTATCCTTTTTACAATGGTCAATTTTGAATTTGTAAAAACAGATAGCAAGTGCTTGTAATTGTCAACGAGATGAATGAATAAAGATTGATTTACAGCAGAGAAAACTTAGGATAAAGTATTTATTATATCCCTTTAAGTGTTAAAAATAGATGAAAAAATAGAGCAACGAACATGGGAAATTGTCAACTAGTTATAAAAGGAGATAGTTTAGACTAGATACCCATTCTACC